TTGTATATGGGTGGGCCTATACATGGACGATCTTTTGTGTTAGTAATGAAACAAGTCAGACATAAACAAGTCAGTTATAAACAGGGAAATAAACGTGTATTAATCAGCGATTACTGGGCTTATATTAATTGAGGGACTTATATTCGGGGGGCTTATATTCGGGGGGGGCTTATATATATTCGGGAGGGGGGGGGCTTATATTTGGAATGAGCTAGGTGAGCGTTAGTACATGTGGTGTGCTTATATACGGGGGGGCTTATAGTTGGAGGTTTACGATATTGGCCATATTAGGAGCCAATTAAATCACCAGTTTTCGAATCTGCATGCGTGTCTGGTATCTGAATTAGCGTGTGTGGTTTTAATTTGTAGTTTTCATTTTTTCACCAAACATAACAAAGCAAAATACTGTTTATTATAGTCGTTCACGTTCTATGTTAGTTTATTTGCATCCGTTGCTTGCCAGAGTCTTTTTTAAGAATTTGTCTGTGGGGCACGGCCGAATTTTGAGGAGAGGTGCACACCTCCACTGAGATTACCTTCATTACTACATACAGTTTGTACACTGCATGCATATGTCACGTTGTTGACTTTGGCCCATTCTAGGTCCTAACATTCCATGGGGGTTGGGAGCTTGACTGCTGCACCTTCCCTAAATTTCCATCAGAATCGGGCCTTGCCACAGGGAGAGAGCAATCTACAAAAAGGGACCACGCCTATTGTGTGTAATAGTAGAGGCGTTTGAGGTTTTATATTTTTCACCCCTAGGACTACATTTCGTGCATTTTCTGAACAGACTTTGACTGGGGGCCAACATGGTTGGGGGCATCATTGGGAATGGCGTGGCTTTGGGCCCCAAGTTATACTCAAAAAAGGCCCTGTTAATGCTTGCAAACACTCCAAACAGTACTATCGTTAGTATTATCTAACATATCCATGTACTATACATCTATATGTCTATTCCACTTATCTGAAATTTGTACTTACCTCATGGTCCATTTACATGATCTTACCAATATATGTTATCTTTTTATTAATTGCCAATGTGCGATCATGTATATAATATAGGTGATATGACTCATATGGTGATATGGAAGGCAGACACCTAATCAATGTTTGTTTAACTATTGTAAACTGATACGGTGTGTTCTTCAGTATTGGAATAGACTGTTATATTATTTTTATTAACTGATTTGTCAAGTACCTTCAAACGACTATATAAAAGCTGTAAACTCGGTTTGTTGGGTCAGCAACCAGGTGATGGTAAGGACGGTAATTCGGTTATTAAAGTTCTTTCAATTCAACAGTAACCAGGTGGAGGCAAGGTCGATATTTCAGTTATTAAATGTATATAAACAGCAACCACTAACCAGGTGGTGGCTAGGAAAGTATTTAAGTTATATTGTATATTAAAGATACGTATAATTGGTAATTTTATATATATATATATATATATATATATATATATATATATATATATATATATATCTATATCTATAAGGCCCCCTGTATGGTGG